AATTAGGCGTATCTGATTTGCCACCGGCCACTTTCATGGGTTTCGGTGCATTCTTTTTTTTTTCGCCTAATGCAGCCAGGAGAACAGGGGCATCGCGCAGGCACTAACCTCACCCCGGTGCTCTCTCGTCCGGGTTGTTTTCTGAGGCCGTATAAAAAGGAGGCGGCTGCACTGAGAGCCTCCTTTCACACGGCTTCCTCGCGCAATCACGTGGGAGTTGTTGATGGCTTTATTAATGCCTTTATGACGAAACTCATCATGCACACTGTCAATCCGAGAACACAATCTGCCTTTTTTAAGCCTGTATTGCGGATTACGTGTCACGTTGTCGTGCGTTTCATTCGCTTCAACAGAGTGCCACTCGAAGCCTCCTTGCTCGTTCCATGTCCTATACTAACCATGTTTACTTCAACCCTCGAACCATACGAAGATAGACTACAAAAATAGCATTCATTTCTACGAGCCCCACATGAAAAAGTGCATCTAGCCGCGATTGCTGTGATAGCAGCGAGAACCAAGAGCCACGGGTCTCATTTGAGGTACGCGAAGTGTACACCCGTATGCAATGGTCGTCTTTAGGAAGAACGATACCGGCATTTGACGTAACATTGAGCTCATCTTCTATAGGAAGCACCGAAAGTACTGTGCACTAGCGTAATAATCTCTGTCATCATTAAGAATAGTATCACGGTGCGTCATCTAGTTTCAGATTCGCATACGAAATGTAGTAAGGATAACCAGAGAACAGGCATCCTTTGTATTAGGGGGCACTGGTACAGAAATACGAAGAGATGAAAAGAAGAAATGCACGACAACTGCAAGCTGCACGCAGCAGCAACACTAGTAACCCTTAAATGTAAAAAGAAACTGGCAAGGGTGACCAGAGAAGAAGCATCTAATTTGTGATATCAAGGGCTTTTTGTCCCGACAATTGCTGAAATGAAACAGTGTTTATGCTTTTAAACTGATGGTAGCAATCTAAGTTAAGCCACTTTAGGAACCTAATTGTGACTGTTAGTCACTGATTGCAGATTACACTGTACTCAGTTCTCATTCGCATTGCAGCTACCTCAGACAATTTCACATTTTATTGCAAATACAGTGTGCTTGGGACTTGCAGTTTTGGTATTGCCCCTGCTCGTATTTAAATTGACGCATATTGTACGTACATTTCACAGCTTTGCCCCCTCCCCCAAAATATTTGTGCACCTAACGTGGTTTCGTGCTGTCTCCAGAAGCAGCCCGTCTATGACGAAGCGATGACGCCATGTGACTACGTCTAGTGCCGTCATACGTTTTTGGTGTCAGTGACATTGCAGTAACACCAAATTATGATGATGTTTTTTGTACGTTCGTGTTGAGGCCAATGCTAACGACGTGTGTTTGATGAAGCTGTGGTCTAAATAAACTTGGGGGGACCCTTAAGCTTCACCTTTAAGAGTTGAACGCAACCGGCCCCTAGTTCACCCTTCAAACGCTAAGTGAATACTTATCAATATGTTTTTTTACATGCACACGCATGCACACAAACACGCACACAGCAAATTGGACCAGCGCGCGCTATCATTGCCGAAGGGGCTCGTTTTTGGCATGACACCTGTCGAATAAAATGCATTTAGGGACCCTGAAACGCTTTTTTCAAGTAACCATGGAATGAATTTACTAAAAATCACTCACGCGGCTATCTCGGTAACTTGATTTTTCGGTCACATACGCAGAGATGATTTTTCACTCACAACCGACGGGACGGGGCCAACGCCACCGGCGGGTTTCCTGCGACACGAGCTCTTTGACGCTATCGCGTTAAAAGGACAGCGCTGTGTTCCGATAGTCGTCTTGGGCCGACGCGACATCGAATGGTGCATTATCCGGCATCTGAGTGCTTGCTGGCCACGCCCCACTGGAGACGCTCATTAATACTCCCATTAAGAGGTCCGGACACGTCGCGTTGCGAGAGCGATTTCTTCGCCTCGCTTCATCGCGACACTAATTGCCCTTTGATTAACTCTTGGATCGCTGTCTTCAAGTAAGTCCTTTATGTCTGCCAGGCACCTTTTTCATTTCTCGGCGATTTTTATAAGGTCGGCTGGCTTGCTTATTTTTCATTATGTTCGTCGTCGTATAATTGTGCGACGCAGCTTTGTTTGGCATGTACCCTGCTGAAGCAATTGTTATTGTACACATGAATGCTGTGTTTCATAGAGAGCTGATGCGTTTATATCCTGTGCCTAACGCTTAACGTGGCCAAGAAACGTGTTCTTGTTTTATTAGTGTCTTCTCGGTATTTGTTTCTTTTTATTACACTCGTCCTTGTTTCCAACACTGAGAACTAACATACTTTGCAGGGTTTAGAAGAGAGAGCACTGTGTTAGAAATGTATCACCATTTGATTCGCTTGGCAGAACGATTAGTAAACTGGTCTCGCATCACTCCATCAATTCTGTTCTCTTGATCACTACATACTTCTCACTTCAGCGATCTTCTTTAAGTGGCGGCTTCCCCTTATTCTCTTGGTGCAACTACAAACTACACCTTGCTCGCGCCCCTGCCCACCACCTAGCTTCGCTTCCAGAAGATCGACCGAGTGCCTCCTTCTGTAAGAGATTATTGACTTTCCGTGAGTGCCTTCCAACAGTCTACACACCTCCGGAACGGATACTAACACCTCCTTGGTGCTTGGACCGACCAAAACTGCGCTTGACAGTGCCGGGGATTCGCAAGAAGGCGGAGCTCTCGGCGCCAGCTTTAAAGCAGATGATTCTACTCATGCTACACGAAGAATACAAAGATCATGTCAAACTTTACACGGATGGCTCGACAACTGTTGGAGGATCTGCAGGAGCTGTGATCTTCCCAGCAAGAGCCGAAACCATCCAGTTCAGAACGTCACACAAGACGACATCGACAGCCGCGGAGCTCGCGGCACTCCGCAGCGCACTCCGCAGGATTGACCAAGAGACACCACAAAAATGGAGCATTTTTACTGATTCGAAACCAGCTCTCCAATGTCTACACAATACTCTACGTCGTGGACCTCAAGATCAATTGGCGCTCGAAATACGACAACTGTACCATCACCTAATAGACGAAGGACATGACATATCTTTTCAGTGGTTACCAGGCCATTGCGGCATCATCGGTAACGAGCATGCCGACAATGCAGCTAAGAATGCTCACGAAAATGGAGTGATGGAACCTATTCCACTATCAAGAAGCGACGCAGCAGCAAAGATTAATACGCTTGCGCAGGATGTCGCAAGGTCTATGCGGAATACGCCCGGTTTTCTCCACACCCGTCTTCACCGCCTGGACCCATGCCTACGACTTACTATTCCATCTGGCCTACCCCGATCCGAGACGACCCTTCTCTGCCGTATGTGGCTTGGGGTGTCTTTCACGAACGCTTTTGCCTGCCGCATCGGAATGAGAGACAGCGCTACATGCGACCATTGCGACAATGACGAAACAATTGAACATATTTTATGTCAGTGCCCCCAGTACAGCTCTCAGCGACAGTCCCTCTCAGCAGTGTTTGCTCGCCTCGACGACCAGCCATTTTCTGAGCAGTCAATCTTGGAATGTCGGAAAGATCGAGCTTCACGCCAGAAAGCAACGAAGGCGCTGATGAAGTTTCTGCGAGCGACCCGCCTCGTAGAACGATTGTGACACTACTGTGTGCGAGTGTGTGTATGTGTGTTTGTGCTTCTCTTCCTCCCTTTCCCCTTACCCTTTCCCCAGTGCAGGGTAGCAAACCGGATATGTTTTCTGGTTAACCTCCCTGCCTTTCCGCATTAAAATTTTCTCTCTACAAAGCTAGCTATTACAATGACATTCAGAAGGTGAAAAGTTCAGAGGTCGTGCATAGAACGTACTTTTTTGAGCTATATATATATATATATATATATATATATATATATATATATATATATATATATATATATATTCTTGACTCGGTCAACCAGCCGAAATTCATTTGCTTGCTGAAGGCGCGGCCACTTTGAACTGATGGCTGCGTTCCTACTTGAAAACGTTGTTGATGAAAAAACAAACAATACGCATATCTGGGGTGCAACATCAATACTTAAGCATTAGGTGGTCTGTTTTTACACTAGGAAATACGCAGATACGCATTTCTAAAGACCCTAACGTTACTTAGGCGGCGGTGAAAATGCCACACTATGCACTAAAAAGCTCTCTGCCGATGATGTCGAGCTGCCTACTTCAACAGGCGTCTGCTTCGGCCCACCAGTGGCAAATGCGCATAGCCATTGAACCTTCCGCGCAGTAAAATACATTCAAGCCTCACAAATGGTTCTTCTTTGTTAACTACCATGCAATAGAGTACCATATGCGACCAAAACATTCCACACATCGTCGTGGAAATATGAACACATGCCATACCAGCAGCCATAATGCAGTAACATAAAATCTGCTCAAACAGACCTCCACCTAATTTATGATGCCAGGATGGAAATAGTATGAAAACAGCATCACGGTTGGCCGCGTATAAAACCAGAACTCATGTAGTACGGCCGGTCCAAAACTATCGTATTTCGACGATATTTGCAGTGAAGCATGTGCCTACGTGGCCAATATTTCCCTGTATTTTTTTTTTTACGATCCACGCAAATATCTAACCGGAAACCTGGTCGGATTGCGTTCTAATGAAGCAGATTCGATCCGTCCGTCTATTAGGATATTGCATTCAGCGGAAGTGTTTCATTTCATCGGTTGATAGCAATGTGATCAAGCTACATCTGTTAGTCTGTAACATACCGACAAGCGAAACACCCAACTAAGCGGAAAGGGCAAAATGGGGAAAAAAATAAACGAAACAGCACTCACAAATAAACTTGGGGTCGGGTTCTTGCAGCATTTCCCGTTTTCTCGCTTTCGTGTACGCGCTTTCTTCGTTGCGCTTTTGTGTACTCTTTTCAAATTCCGCTGCTTCCAATTGGTTTCTACTTTGCTTAACAACCTATACTGTTTTTTTTTTCTAGGAGGGAGGTTTCTACTCAGTCTCGTCCTCAGCTCTTACGGTAAGTGTAGAGCCATCGGTGTAACCGCGAAGAAAAGTTTTACGACGCTATCTTCTCTCAGCTGCTGTTGCTTTGCTTGGCAGAAAGGAAGGAAAAAATAGAAAGGAGAGAGCGCGAAACGCCGCTTCGAGAAGATGAGCGTGGCGATACTGAGAAAGCAATATAACCGTGATGGGCGCGCTGAGCAAAAAGAAGGAAAAAAGAATAAAGGGCACTGCGAGTGAATGAGACGAGGGGAAGGGTGTGAGATGAAGGCGAGGGGATGGTTGTGAAGGCAGAGAGTGTCGGGGACCTTCGGTGGCTGCCTGCTCAGGCGCTGCTCTGAAAGCGTGCCCGGAGACTGCGAGGATGCGCGCTGCGAAAACGTGGGCTAGATGGCACTGGTGATGATGATAGTGGCCTCATCGCAATCTAGACGAAAGCCTTCTCACTGAGACCCATCTCACTTTTCGTGCTTGCTTAGCTTTGTACCCGTCACCACTTTTTATAAAGTTTTATTCATCTATCTCTTTCCTCTCCTTCTCCTTCTTTGTCCATTTCTTTCTCCCTCTCTCATTCAGCTATGACCTCGATCCAGCAAAGGCCTTGTCGTCAGCTCAACACACTCTTAGCTTCCTCCTGCTCGTTTTCAACTTCGCTCTAGGAAGACCCACAAGCGACAACAGCGCTCAAAAGCAGCCTTTCCCGTGACCAGAGTGGTAGCGTGGGCGCTTACGAAAAGATGTCGGCTGAAAGAAAAGAATGAGAAAGATTGAAGATGGAATATAAAGCGCAAACGAAAAAAGTGAGGAAGTTTCAATCTGTACGAAGCTCTTTGAAAGCCACAACCTCCACTCAGTTTACATATTTTTTTTTTTCATCCGTTTTCTGCTCGTCACTAGGCTGTGAAGGCAGCAAATGAGAAGTGGCTAAAAATTTGGGAGAAGGAAAGAATGGAGTTAAAGAAGCGAGTACAAAGCTTTACGGACAATAAAGAAAATTACACTCCCTCCCTTCAAGGAGTGAGGCAGGATAAAGTCATTTTTCGCGCTCTTTAGTCAGGACAGCGCCGATCACTGTCTCCACCTTTGTGCGGCGAACGCCGAGCCAAAGACAGTTTTGTTGGATCTAAAACACTATGCTGTACTCGAGAAAAAGTTGTTTACAGCATGGTAACCCTTTGAGACACAAGTAAACCATGTTAACTTCAACTCTTGTTATTTGTACGTTACCCCGAGTGCAGTGCAATAAATGAACCTGTGCTGCATTTGATAATAAGTTTTCTTTCTGTGGGAATTCTTCACTGCCAGTATTATTCATTAGAAATATTCATTCATATTTGGTGATTCATTTTTTTTGGGGTCATATTACAAAAAATTTCGAGACATCGGGACCTGAGTGAGGCACGCTGAGTCTGGCAAAGACTCAGTTTCTTCTGAAAGCTCTGGTAAGTACATGATAACCAGTATTTATTAATTCAGTGAGTTTGAGGGAAACAGAACCGAAAAGCATCGCAGTTTGAGCCGACAGAAAAAAAATATTTATCTAGTATATTTTAACTGGCAACTGGTGAATGCTTACGCGGTAAGGAACAAAATGCACTTTAATCAAAATGGTATTATTTCTAAAGTATTAAAATTTGTGCACAAAGCAATACAAAATAAAATATTTTAACAAGATAATGAAGCTAGTTTGTTGTGCCCTAAAATTCAGGCCTGAGTCAAGGTATGTGCAGATAAAAAAACGCCAACCTTTTAGTTTCCTCTCATTCACTGCTGATTTAACTTCATGTCGACTGCAGTTGTGGCTGTTTGAGGCTAACCTAGGTTTTTTTTTTCTTTCGTTTGAAGTCACAGAAGCTTGTGAGTGCGACTGTATGACTGCACTATACTTTATAGAAGAAGAAGGACAGTTTATTAAAGATCAGCAAAGCTCAATATGAAGGACGCAAGACACAAAATACAAAAAAGACAAATGCTCATGGGTTTCTAAATGAAGCACTGCTTAGACTATTCTATTTCTGCGTCAGGTCATACTTCAAATGATTTTTCAACACCGAGTGATCGCGGTAACAGTGCTGTACATATCGTGTGTGTATTTTATTGCTCAGCTGAATATATACACTCTAATTCGGCTTCCCTTTTCAATAAAATATCTCTCTATTTTCAATAAACTTCTGTCGTTCATTTTGTGATTGCCTTACCAATATGTTTGGTCCAAAGTGTTGCCCAAAACGGTGAAGACAATTGGCTCTAGACCTGTAAACGTAATGAAGCCTTTCCTAGACTCGCGAACTGATCAGGCTCACAGCCATGAACCTTACATGATCCAAATGTGGCTCAAGAGGAGTGGTACCAATAACAATTTCAGGCCAGGAAAAGCTTCACAGTGTAGGTTCGCAAGGCCGACTAAGAAGTTGCGAAGAGCAGACACTGTGGGCTAGCAGGCAAATAAGTAATGAAAAAAACAGGCAGTCACCGAGGAGGGTTCTGTCGGTTTCATGGGCAATTAACGCGGGCACGCACACAGTTTCATGCACGATCGGCCATCGGCTGACCAGGCGCCACACGCTACGCATTCGGTGCAGGACAGAAGATACGCCGAATAGCGTGCCCAACCACTCCCCTCGTTCTCCCCCAAAAGGTGTGCGTTTTGTCCGTGCTGCGCCGGCCGAGCCGCCAACTCCACGGGCCGTAATGATAATGGTACGTGCCCGCGCACACACACGCACACATACGAGGACTGAAACGCAGGCACGCCGGTCTTGGGGAGAGACGAAGGATCATGTCATCTCTTACACGCCACCAGCGCAGGCACGCGTGTGTGCGCCGGCCAAGGGATATAAAGGCATGCAAGCCGGCAGGCAAACGTGCAGGGTTACATTCTAGCACGGCATGCCTATAGTGCGATAAAATGAGAGGTATGAAAAAAGAAAGGGAAAATGTTGGGCCCCCTCCTTTTTAGGATGTCTCACTCCGAGCGTCGTCATCAATGCGTGCTCGTTGGAAGGCAACGGACCCCTCCTGAAACACACCCCGAGGGAGACGAGGGCGCGGGAAAGAGCGCAGCCACTGCAGTCAGCCGATGCGGAGTAAGGGAGCCCGGCAGGTCAGCTAGGAAGGCGTGCGCCTGGTAGGACCGTAAGAGCGTTACTTGCACGCGCTTTTAGGTGGCCACAGGCTCACTTACAGACCGACACGAAAACATACAAACAGGGTGAGCCGCGTACGAGATCTCTGCCTGCTAGTTACTTCCTATCTTTCTTTTTGTCTTATATAGTTCGCTTCCTTTTTGTTTCTTTTTTTCCTATCCGGACTCCGAAGAGGTTCCTTCGGACATTCCTGCGAATAAGCGCGCTGCTTCGCCAGTAAGCTGCTATTCCGCGGCGAAAAAAGTTTCAGGCCGAATGGCCGAGAAACCCCGATGCTCTTATTCGCACTACTGGTTTTCGTTTTACGACTCTTCATACCACGCTACTGACTGCGTTACGCCCTTTCTAGTGCGCATCTCTGCTTTCTTTTATACTTCTCTACCCCCTTAACAACACGTGTGATTTATCTCCTCTTTTACCGCGAGAGAGAAACTTACTTCAAAGAAAAAAAAAGAGCTTCAGTGCATCCTTTCAACTTCTCTCAATCATTGCATTTCATTTGCTTCTTCCGGGCTATAGAGCTCTTCACGTTCTTCAATTGTATTTGCAAGTTCAGAAGATGCTATCGCTAACCTTTCAGATCCGAAGAAAATGAATGACTAGTATTTTGTACTTTTTGTGGTACGTCTACAAGGTTGTATACAAGGTGAACACGGGTATGCGGAGCTGGCAGACGGAACTTCGTGAGAATACAACATGTAATTCAGTGACTATTGACCTGTATTTTGTTTCTGCATCCTGGCAAAATAAATCGCAAATGAATTTCTATTCAAAAAAGCAGTTGTTACGTAACTGCAGATACCTCGCTATGATGTCTTTCTTACAGAACCTCTGAAGTATGAAGGAAAGCGTCAAAGCTTTTCTCTATGTTGTGAATTATTTCTCAGTTTAATAACTAGGGCGACATTTTAAAGTGCGCTCTGACACTCACCATCATCATCATTAGCCTGACTACGCCAATGCAGGACAAAGGCGTCTCCCATGTTCCGCCAGTCAACTCGGTCCTGTGCTTGCTGCTGCCAATTTACACCCACAAACTTCTTAATCTCATCTGCCCACCCAACTTTCTGTCTCCCCCTAACCCGCTTGCCTTTTCTGGAATTCCAGTTAGTTATCCATAATGACTAGCCGTTATCCTGTCTACGCGCTGCATACCTAGTCTATGTCCATGTCTTCTTCTTGATTTCAACTGTGATATTCTTAACCCCGGTTTGTTCCCTAATTCACTCTACTCTCTTCTTGTCTTTTAAGGTTACACCTACCAATTTCTTTTCCATTGCTTGCTTCGCAATCCTCAATCTAAGCTGAACCCTCCTTGTAAGTCTTCAGGTTTCTGCTCCGTAGCTAAGTACCAGCAAGATGCAGCTGTTATATACCTTCCTCTTGAGGGATAGTGGCAATCTACATGTCATTATTTGAAAGTGCTTGCCAAATGTGCTCCACTCCATTCTTATTCTTCTAGTTACTTTAGTCTCGTGGTTAGCCTCCGCGGTTATTATCTGTTTTAAGTAGACATAGTCATTTATAACTTGAAGTGCACTATTACCTATCTCGAAGCGCTGTTCTCTTTCGAACTTGTTGTGCATTACTTTCGTTTTCTGCAGAATAATTTTAAGACCTACTTTTCTGCTCTCCTTGTCGAACTCCGTATTCATGAGTTGCAATTCGTCCCCTAAGTTACTGAGCATTTACTCGCAGTTACTTGCTACAGCCACTAATTTGCTTCATTAGCCTTGAATGAAACAAGTATTTATGTCTGTATATTCAAACTGCGAGATCAGTGAAATCTTGATATTAAATGCAACATACTAACCATAATCGAACACGCTCTGAAAAACGGAGGAAGTGTCAAAGCATTGAAGAGGAAACT